GCTCCGTTGCAAGTCGATTTCAGGGATCGTCTGTCTCGGCTCAACGAGCAGCTCATTCATTCCTACTATGGCATTCACTCACTACCCTAGGTGTGTGCTCGCTCCGGCTTCTCTCGCCTTCCTGACTGAGGTAAGGCGAAGAGTTGGCAGGCCACACTATATTTCTCTACTAGTTTCCTGCCCAACAGTTGCCTTTCCAATAACCGTCACTCTTACTACCGTTCTACCTATGACATTGTTGCTGCCCTAATCGTTCAGCTCACACCTGCGCCACACCACTAGCGTACCAACCCTCTGTGTGCCAGCCGACTGTGCTCCACATACATTAACCTGCAGTCTTCCCTGCTCTCTGCTGGTCTCCACCCTTCGCTCTGTGCATTCGTTTCCCCATTGTTGCAACTATTTCCCATGTCCCAGCTTGGCAGTACCCACCCACATTTCTTGCCCCTCCCTGATATCTTGTCTCCTCTGCTCCTCCCCCTGGCCTCCCCTTATTCCACTGAAGTCTAATCTCGTGTCAACTGCATGTGTGTGCACAAGCTTCGTCTCTCACTGAGTGGTCCATCGTTTTGTGCCTCGTCCCAAACGAGTGTTTTCCCATTGTGTGTGCATTCACAACCAACTTCCTCTTTGCACCCGACCTTACCCCTCACCCCACCCAGGTGTTGTCTACTTTCGACAGTCTGCAGTGAAGGAGGTGGTTGATTGCCAGGATCGGTGATTGAAGCAGGGCTGTTGAAGGAGAGTCCACTGGATACTATGGCTGCCGAGAGGGCAATGGGGCCACTGATTGAAGTGGTCAAAGAGGCGGCACTGGCAGCAGTGAGGGAGGAGCTGACTGGGCACAACGAGGAGTTGGATGAGTTGCGGCATATGTTGAAAGCAGTGAAGGGGGGGTTGGCAGCGGTTAAGGGGGAGTTGAAAGCGGTTAAGGGGCAGTTGGCGGAACTCATGGACTCAAGAGTAGAGCAACCGGCTGAGTTCAGCAGGGCATCGGATGAAATAGAGCTAAGAGGGAAGAGTAGAAAGAGAAGGAAAGAAGAGACAGCGGAGGAGAGGAGGAGGGAGGTGCAGGAGGTGAATTGGCCACATGCCACGGAGGAATCGGCAGCCTGTAATGAAGGGCAGAGGATACAAGATTTGAAGTTGAATGTTGAGCTGGAAATTAGGCAGAGTGAAGGTGATCGGAAGAAAGCATTGGAGGTGAGTGCTGAGTGCGTTGTTGCACAGGCATGCCTTGTTCCACTTGGCATTCACTGCTTGCTAGTTCTGTCTTATCGCCATATATTCACCCCTTGTTCTGTCAAATTTTCCCTCTCAACCCATTTCTTCCAGGCAATAAAGACAGCATCAAAATATTTCAGTATAGACCTGAGGCATTGCCACCGCCTCTCAACCGACATCCTCGGGCATGTGTCCACAATGGCACATCTGAGGGGAGTTGTATTGCAGCATAGCTCAGGTTTCAGTGCAGAGGGCATCAAGCACCTCTACAGGCTGCCACAGCTGGAGATGCTAGACCTCTTTTGCGCAAAATATATAACAGACAATGCCTTGGAAGGCCTTTGGTGCTTGACCAGTCTCAAGTACCTGTATCTCAATAATGCCAAGCTGACCAACGCTGGCCTGGCACACTTGACAGCTCTGTCCTCTCTGAATGCGCTGGTCTTTATCAAGTGCACAAGTGTGACAGATGCCGGCATGGTGCATGTGGGGAAGCTGACAGGGCTTGAGGATCTTTCTCTAGATGGCACAGCAGTCACGGATGCTGGGCTGCGGCACCTGTCTGCCCTGACCAACCTGACAAATCTCTCGCTGCCAGGAGGGGATTTTTATTTGGATGGTGACGTACGCTGGCGGATAAACAGGAAGTGGTAGTGAGTGATGATGGAAAGCGAGGTGAGGTGAGGGAAGAGTTGGCGGTGACTGCCTAGAGGGAGACTGACGAGAGGCATGGAGTCAAGGCATGTGAAGAATGTGGAGGGATGAGGCAGAGTGGTGATGCTGTACTTGCATATTGTTTAAACTTGGAAAATAACCTTCTGGCCATGCACCTTGCAGTCGGACAGTTGAATGTGTAGGGCAAGATACCAGCTGGAGGAGGGAAAGCTGCATGGTATGCCTGCTTGTTTTACAGTGCAGCAGGCTGTGCAATGTCTTTGTACGGTACTCGTAGCAACCGCACGATATGCAATGCATCCCTTCCTGCCAAAGCATGCCAATTTTAAGATATGCATGTGTAACCACGAGTCTTTGATGCTGCTCCAATATGATCCATGAATATCATCTCAAGACAATAGAATAGACACACTCGTTCTTTTGACAAATCTGCACAATCACGATACATGGATCCAAGGTGGTGAGTGGCAGCTGGTCATTTGGGGGGGTCTGTCTGTTGGCTGGGTGTGTGACGTGGCACAAATGGCAGAGGTGAAGCAGGAAAATGTGCGCCTGTGTCTGCATGGGAAGGGGAACCTGTGATGCATGCTTCTGCGCACTTGAGCCTCAATTTGATCGCCATACTCCCTTCTCGAAGTCACGCTTTTCCCTCAATGCTTGTGCCACCACTGCCTTCAGCAGCCTTTTGTGAATTACACCAAGCGGCAGCAGAGTGAAAGAAGCAACAAAGACTTCCATCCCCTCCAACTGGAAGGGATTTGAGTGGAATCCAGGCAATTAAGACTTCCATTACATCTCACCGTTTTCTTGTACTGTGCTGCACCATGTCACCGCAGAGATAAACACAATTTCTGCACCAGCTAAGATGAAAGTAACGTATGGGAAGAGGTATGGAAGTTAGGTGTGCGTTGAGGTATGGGATGTGGAGCACGGCACAGCTGCCCCTGTACTACCTTTTCCCATGAGAACACACTGTTGGGCCGATACGATAAATTGTATTGCCGGTGCTTCAAACACTACATCCACTGAGTTGCTTTGCTATCATTGTAATGGGGTGAGAAGAGAAGGGCGAGGCATTATGCACGTGCAACAAGGAATAGCTGAGGGGAGTTAGGGGGCGAGAATGGGGAGGGACGGGCGCATGGTGTTGGTGAAAAGGGCGTTGGTGAGACGGGCGCATGGTGTTGGTGAAAAGGGCGTTGGTGAGACAGCTGGTAGCTGAGGCGGGTGCACGGATGAACGTCGCATGCAAGGATCCGTGGGATGGGTGTGCTGACAGGGGAGGCAGTGACCAGGTAGGCACAGAGGGGTGGGAACGGTGGGCAAGGCAAGGAAGACGGAGCCACTCACCAGGCGCTCATATCTTACCACCATTGCCGTCTCTAACACACCACTCCCAGCATCTGTCCCATCCTCTGTCCTCTTCCCCCTGCTCACCCTCCCCTTCCCCAACACCCATCCTCCCTCCCTCCCCCCGTCCCCCCCCTCCCCCCTTCCCCCCCACCCTTTTTTTCTGACGCCCCACCGTTTGCCATGCCATCGACTGCTGCCTCGTCTACAGCTGTCCCCACTGTCTGTCGCCCCACCTTCTCTCCCGCTTGCAGCAGCAGCCGAAGCGCCGAGAGTAAGACAGCGGCCGTTGTCGGATTGGCTGCAGATGGATGGCGGGAGAATTTAGAAGAACGGGGATTGGCGGGTGAAAGAGGGGTGGGGGACGGGTGCCGGCAGAGGAGAAAGGGAAGCCGTAGGGAGTAGACAAATGAAAGCGTGCAGGGCAAGAAAGTAGAGATTTACAACCGGGGAAGGGTGGAAGGGGGAAAATAGGCCAAGAGTGGGAGGGGTATGTTGTGATGAACAAAACAAAAGGAAAAGGGTCACGGGGCAAGCACCTAATCCTCTGTCATGACATGAACCACCCTTGCCATGAACAAATGAAAGAGCCAAACCACTTCTCCCACAAACCCACTGAAAAGAATTGCTTTGCAAATCCCCAGGAACCACCTGTTCGAGCAACCTGCCTCTGCCAGGTACCCGCCCCACCCACCTCCGCCATGACCAGTTCCACCAGGTTCTCTCAACAAGTGAGGCAGCCGGTCATTGGAGTACGAACAGCCCACAGGTACATTCACTTGCTGACACGACTTCCACTCACTCACACAGTCCCACCACCCCATCAACCACCGGCACGTTGATCTGTCAGGACATATTCATTCCTCGCTGCACATCCATCAGTGCGAGGTCCTGCGCGGCATCGATACCACCACTCCTGGTGAGGGTGAGCAATGAACAGGAGCGACATAAGAGTGGAAAATGAAGCGCCACGAGCAAATGAAGCGAATGCAGCAGTGGGAGGGAGTCAGCGGGCATAGTGCTAGGCAGGTGAGCGGGCAGGCAGTAGGGATGTGCAGCTGGGGTTGTGCACCCACCACACTCCAGTGCCTTGGTGCTCCCAGCACTGCTGGTGGCGTCCATGGCCATCATCACCACCACCACATCCATTGCCCCACCGTTTTCATCCGCCCGTGCTGCTGGTGGAAGTGACCGCATGGGAGCATGGGCATCGCCAGCAGAGCTGAGAGCATGGGCAGGCAGTGTGGCCTTAGAAGCCGAGCCGCCCCTCCCCTGCTGCCCCTCCCCTGTTGTACCCCCCTGCTGCCATGCCATGCAGTATGGCCACCACCACTCATGCATCCACCCACTCCCACGGTCATGCCCTCCCTACCTTCCATTGTGCTAGCCTCACTCCATCCCACCCATCCATCCCATCTCCTCCTCTACTTGCTGCACCAATCCCATCCCATCCCAACCAATCCATTCCATCCCATCTCCTTCCCTTCCCTCCCATGCCGACCCAACCCATCCCATCTTATGTCCTCCCTTCCCCTCCCCTCCCGTCTCATCCCCTCCCATCCCAACCCATTCCCTCCCATCGCAACCCATCCGAACCCATTCCATCCCATCTGCCACACACCTGACAGCCTGACCGCTGGCTCAAGGTGAGCTGCACGTCACCATGCCGGGCGTCATGTCCACCACGAGCACGTCCATCCCCCCCACTCCGTCCCCCTTACAAGCTTCTCCACTGCCGCCATCACATCACCATGGGCCAACGCCATACGGTCGCCACGTGCGCAGGCATGAGGAAGCCCACACTCCCAGCCCACGTGAGCGGACATGCAGAGCATGCCGTGCGCCTGCATGCGTGGGGGAAGGGCGAGGCGAGCAGGGGGCAGCCGGCAGTCTCCAGGCCCAGCGGGCAAGAAGGGGGAGGAGGCGACAATCTGCAGGCCGAGCAGGTTGGGCAGTGAGGGGCGAACACGTCAGCGTCCAGCAGCCCCATTTGCGAGTGCCACTGCCAGGTTCATTGTGGGGGGAAGAGGGAGAGGTGGGGGAGGGGGAGGGGACGATGGGATTGGGGGGAGGAGGGGAGGAGGGAATGTGGGATGGTTAAATGAGGGGGATGCGGGGATGGGGGGATAAGGGAAGATGGGCATGCGATTAGAGGCATGCATTGAGAGGTGCGGGGCGAGGGGCACGGTGGAAGAGGCATACAGGGGGAGGAACACGGTCAGGTGAATGGGGCGAGAGGGATTTTAGGAAAGGAAGGGGGTGATAGAATGGGGTGAATGGTATGTGTGGAAGAAGGCAGGGGTGAGTACAGCGTGTATGGGAGCCTGTCGACATGCAGTGAAGGAAAGGGGGATGGGGAGGCTGACAGGAAGGGGGGGTGGGCAGGGGGATGGGTTAGAGAGGAAGGGAAGGTGGGTGGGGAGGGGGAACAGGAGGGGGGTGGGGAGGGGGATAGGCAGGTGACGAAGGCGGATGGGAAGGGCAGTGGAGAGGAGGGGGAGGAGAGGGTGGGATATGATGAGCGGAGAGGAAGCGGCGAGGGGCATGGCGGTGAGGCGGTGAGGCGGTGATTCAGTGAGGTGCAGCAGCAGTGGTGGACTTGCCGACGCCGCCTTTCGCGAATGCCACAGCCACGATGTGCTTCACCCCTGGCAGCAAAAACTGTCGTCGCCATCGCCTCTGCTGCCACTGCAGCTTCTATCGTTGCTGCTGGTGGTAAAACCGATGCTGCTGCCATGTGGAGTCCACATACTCCCACCAGTGCTGCCGAGCTTGCTGCTGCAAGTCATACCTCTGGAGGTAGCTATGCTGCCTATACGCACAGCACTGTTGCTGTCTAGCGTGCTGCTGCGGGTAGCACTGCGACTAAAGGCAGGGGAGGGAAACTGGTCCAGCTTGGGACCGGCATGTAACGCGGGAAGGTGACGACCAGCCAAGCGTGTAACGCCACGCAGCCATGCAGCACCCAGCCATGCAGCACCCAGCCATGCAGCACCCAGCCATGCAGCACCCAGCCATGCAGCACCCAGACATGCAGCACCCAGCCATGCAGCACCCAGCCATACGTCACCTCAACAGGACACCGATTGTGCTCTGAGCAGGACGCACCTGATCGGGCAGAATGGTCAACGGCAAAGACGACGAAATGGCCGCCCGGAAGGGTACATGGTAATTGGATATTGCCTCGCAACAAGTACAGAATGAGGATAAGGAGCTAAATCTGGTGAGGAGCAGGGAGGGAACAAGCATGGGGAAAGGAGCAGAGGGAACAAGGAGCAGGGATTGAGCTATCCTTTCAGCAGCGTCGATGACTTGTGAGAGTTGTCAAAAGCGGCAATGATGATGACGGTGCCGTTGCTCGTCATATTGACTCGCCATCGCCAGCTGCTCGTGCAGCTTCGACGCCCGCGATGCTCGGGAGGCCGCCTCTCGCAACCTACAATTTCGGCACTCGCAAAGCAGTTGGCGACGCACGGGACACTCGCTCGACTCGCCGTCGCCAATAGGAAACATTAGGGATGACCGCCAACAGTGTTAGTGCTACTATCGCTGACTGGGCGAAAGTTTATGTTTCTATTAAGGCTATCCAACGAGCAGGTGGAAGAATCATGGCCACGAAAGTAAGAAATTGGCAGGAAGCTGCGGGAGGGAGGCCGGCAGAATAGAGCGCCGTTTCTTTCTCTGATGCCTCCTGCTGTCAATTGCGCATTCGTGCCTTTTGCGGCGGCGCCGTCGCGCAGGAGGGATTGTGGAAGGGCGAAGAAGGATGGGGAGTGGGGAGGAGGTGCGAAAGTGATGTCCCCTTCGTAATACGAATGTTCTACCACGTTCTGACATCCTGTAGCTAGTACGGATTAAATTGTGAGCATCACATGCAAGTGCCATCTTGCCGATTTTCTAGTCAACTTGAAATTCGCACGATGGAACTCTATCAAATCTACCATATCGTTTTTGAGCACTTCACGATTTAAGGTCGCGAAGGCAGGTCGCGGGCTGAGCAGTACGTCACGGGCTGAGCAGTAAGTAGTTCGCTATGTCGCCAGGTCGCCAAATCGCTGGTCGCTAGTGCCAATAATCCTCTTCAATAGCTACTTGCTCTTTGTATACTGGAAGATTTGCTGTAGGGTCCATTAGGGTTTCGATTCGTTCCGTTACTGTGAGAGAGAATGAAGAGGTCGGTGTTCGTCAAACAGGGTCAGCTGCTGTCCTGATTCGTCTAAGTCGCAGACCCGGCGGGATTTTTTGGTAGCTGGACACGCCCTGCTGGCATGCCACGCCACCATAGAAACTTGTCACCCTAGAAATCGCGAGAGAATGGTAACTTGACAGTCCATTCGCATCCGTCGGGATCCACACCACAATCCACGGCTGAATGGGAGGTCGCAACTCGCTAATTCCACGTCACCAACCCTGGTTGGGATGTTGGAGCCACGCAAGAGATCTGCAAAGAAATTTTGGCTAGGAACTGGGCGATCATCATCGCCCTCAACTCCCACCCTCACCTCCCTACTGCTGTCTTCACTTCATTTCCTAGCTTAGTAGCTTCCTCTCGGGATTCCTCGTCTGCTGGTAACACTAGTTTTTTGGTTTAACCGTCTACAGATATTAGGCTGTAGAGTTAGGCCCGGCTCTGTGACGCACACAAGTTAACAAACGATTAAAAACAACCATTTCCTGGAATCGCTGCACCTCGATGGCAACTTCGGACGGCGCGGGGCGCCTCATTCGACTCAGCTTACTCATCTTTCTGACGTGTCTCGCCGTGGTTTCTCCAGTCCGCTGTGTCCCGTTCGTCGACTCCCAAGGTTCGTCCGACGAACCTTTTGTTTCACCCCCGTACTATGTACTTGTTCTGCTAGATATACAGCTGTAGAGCAAATTTGTAACAAGATGGGATTCGCCATGCGTGCGTGCATGGGAATACCCGAACGGTTGGAACCTCCCTTTGCCTAGGTAGCTCCCTTTCCCTTATCCTCGTCAGTGATTAGATGTTACTAAAATCAAGCAGGACATGGCATCGAGGCGTTATGCCAAGATGCCATGCTAGATTGAGTGGCGATACGGTTTTCATCCAAGTCGCCATCCCTTCTTCCTAGCATTAATATCCACCTCAAAATCTTGTATTTTAATCTCATCCTATTCTATCCTTGGAGTCTTTAATCCTATCTTTTTGAAAGTCTTCTTCTCTCTTCTCTCATCTACCGTAGACGTGACGTCTCCAGAGCTGGGCTTCTCCCTCCAGCCTAGCTCCCTTTTCTTCTGCTGCAAGACTCTCCTCTTATTCTTTTTTAGCTAAGGCGCCTCTGCTTAGGCGCTGGGCCGGCCAGGCCAGCCGCGCCGTGCATCGCTGCGCCATAGCTCCTGTTTCAAAAGTGAATGTAGCTTAACCTAGTAGTACATAGTATGGGGGCCAACAATGTTGGGATCCTTGAAAAACGAACTTAGCAATCAGTGGCCCGCCCTCGACCCCCACCACCTAATCTTCCTGTATCTGTTGCGCTGATAAATCTCATGTCTTCTGGATCCTTGGTGATGGTAGTATGATGCATTCCAGCAAGGGTTCCATGGAGGCTCACACACCACGATGGCACCACCATGACGCGGACGCATTCGGCTTGGTTTCCAGCGTGCGTCACACAGATCTACGGAGTTTCCGCTGTGTTTCCTTTGGTTGAGCTCATGCCGCACGAGCAAAATGTCATGCACGACTATTGTGGGTTCAGCAGTGGCACCAACCATGCCACAGCGGCGGATCATCAAAGTCAAATGACGCTATCGGCGATAGCGATGAGCATGAAAGCGGGCCAGGGCCCGCCCGGGTCGGGCCCGCCCGGAAATGCCTCGGGCCGGGCATCATAATTTCGACGTGGGCCCGATGCGGGCCGGGCTGGCCTGGCCCGCCGGGCCGCAACCACCCGATTTTGGCCCGCCCATGTACGGGCCGGGTCGGGCCGGGCCGCATCGGAGCACAAAAATACATACTGTGGGCGATTATGACAGCACCCGGGCCGGGCCGGGCCGGCCCGGGTCGGGCCATGCAAAGCCCGAGTCGGGCCGGGCATGGCCCGCCCGCCTTGAGGGCGGGCTCGGGCCAAGAGTTTCCTTCTATGGCCCGGGTCGGGCCGGGCCAACCCTGCCCGCTTTTTTGCGCAGCCCGGGGTGGGCCCGACCCGGGCCGGGCCCGGCCCGCCCGGTGCTCAACGATAGCCTATCGCATGTATCCATCAGAATCGTGTTTCTATTAGAATAGTTTTCCAACGCCTGGTGCTTAGAAGCTTGTTCGACCAATTTCAAGTTTGACATTGCAACTCTCTGCTCTACTGATGTCTGGTGCAGGGGTTGAAAGAGGGAGGGAAAGCCATACGAAGCGTTGATGAGCTGATACATTCATCTCTTCTTTTTCCTGCTCCATTGCAGCCTCTCTCCTACCTGCTAGCGCAATCAGTGCAACTCCTGCTGGCTGGAACTCCAGCAAGCATAGGGGGGGGGTTTGATGTATGGGTGGCTTGCTGCCATGGATGGATGCAGCAATACCAGGGCGTTGTGGCTCATTTACGACCACGAGTACTAGTATTCGTAGTAAAATAACTTGGTGGAGTTCTTAAAAGAGCTCAGGAATGCTCATGCCCAACGATATATGCCTCCTATTTGACCTCGTTACTGTTTACACCTCTCATCTTATTTATCAACGGATAAGTCAGTGGCCACGGCATGCCCATGCTCCCATGCGCACTATGCATATCGTTGTGGCACTTTTAATCTGCGAGTCACGGTAGTTACTTCACCATCGCATGCGTCCATTCTGCACTTGTGGAACAGGCTGATGAGTGAGGGAGGAAGAGAAGGGTGCAACACGCAGGTGATGAGAGCCAATTTATCCCTCCTCTCTTCCCTGCCCCAGCTTCTATCCTTCTCTTGCCCTCCTGCACCCCTCTCCCCCACCATTTGTTGCCAGTGCGAGTCCTGCAGGACTTGCAGCAAGCGTGGAGGCAGAATTTCTCTGGGTGGGTGGCTGGGGGGGACTGCAGCCGGGCCTTTTATGTGACCTGCGATGCCCAAGGCATGGTGACCAACATGTGAGAGCACCAACTCTAGTTGGTCTTGCATCCCCCATGTGTGAACCAACTCTTGCTGGACTTGACCTGAGTGCCTGCATCTTCTCTCCCTCCACCATTTTGCGTTAGAGTTGAGCATGTGGCCCGACCCGGCCCGACCCGACCCAATTTGGCCGGGCCACACGGGCCCTCGGGTCATGTCGGGTCGGGCCGACCTCGGGCCAGGTTGGGCCAGGCAGACCCGCCCCCTTAGGGGAGGCTGGGGGTATTCATCACAATGTACGACGAAACGTGTGCTGGCGGATTCCCCGTCACCGTGCAAGCGGCCGACGCGAACCTATGTAAAATCGTGCAGCGGTTGCCGGTAAATGCGTCCACCACAGCGGAAACGCCACGGATGTAATGGGGTCGAAGGAAAGTAGAGGTTGCGTGGAGTCCCTGGGCACCTGCTCAACTCTATTCTGCGTGCTCTGCGTTTGCACTTTCTTGTTGCATTTTGGAGAGCTAACCCTTGC